TTTTTTTTTTTTTTTTTTTTTTTTTTTTTTGTTTTGTATAAGATAATTGCGTCCCTGTCTGCCTAAATCATCAAGTATTCACTTGCAGCGTTGATGGTGAGCATTCAAGTGTTTGTTTCCTTGTTGTATTCCTAACAATTTCATTTTTCGATTTGTAATTGTTTGGCCCTTTCCCCACCCATTACATTAGGAAAACCAAGTGATGGCGTTGAAGGAAAAAGGGATTTCGGCTGAATATCTATCCTCAACTCAGTCAATACAAGACAAAAAAAAAGTGAATTTCCCCTACAGTTCTCTCCCTTCCTACTTATAATGTCTGTTTTGGTGGATTCCTCATTATTCATCAAAAGTATATATGTATATCCTGTATGTGTAGTTGGTATCATCACTCTTTCTAAATAATAACGGAATTAATTGAACTCACATGCACGAGGAAATGTAAACTTACTTTTAGATGACAACATCAGCTTGCCATTTTTCCACCTTTGGGGGGGAGGAAGCAAGGTAACATCATGTTTTTGTAAACATTCGGTGATGGGATATTTTGAATTTAACAAATCCTTCAACTGTATGCATCTCAGTAGTTTGTGAGAAGAGAAGAACTATTGCGTACTCAGGAGTGGTGGGAGTGAGTTTGGGAATCCCCCTTTTCTTTCATGTAATAGACAAAACCATAAAATGTCTTTGTTTCCCTTCTTTTTTGGGAATCTCCTGTCCTTGTTTATAAGCTCGTCCTCTCATCTTTCTCTGTTTATACAAACTTTACTTACCTAGAAATAATGTATGTAACAATCTTCTTCATCTAGATCCATGAAGATCTTGATTCTGGTAAACCTGCCTTAAGGCTTCTCTACGTTACACCTGAATTAATTGCAACACCAGGATTTATGGCAAAACTGATGAAAATTTATTCTCGAGGATTGCTAAGTCTGATTGCTATAGACGAGGTGAGTTTATATTGTATTATGTGCAGAATGTTGTATTCTTCAATCATTCCTTCATCTTTCTATTTAATGCAATTTTCAGGCACATTGTATTTCAACGTGGGGCCATGACTTCAGGTTTGTAATATAGATGATAGATAATCAGTTATTGTCTTTTAGGAATAGACTGTAGACATTAATCTCTTCTTATATTAGTATATACCATTATTTATGTTGACAAAAGCTATTGATAATGATCCTCTTTGCCTCTACCTCATATGTCAATACGATGCTCATCCTAGTTGTACCATAAGTCAATCTTGTTGCTTATGGATGACCTTTGTTTTTTCTTTTCTGTCTCCTCTCTGGCCTTTTATGTTTTGAAACAGGCCTGGCTACCGCAAGCTTTCTTCTTTGAGGAGTCGTCTTCCTAATGTTCCTATACTTGCCTTGACAGCTACTGCTGCTCCTAAGTGAGTTATTCTTATAACCATTTAGTTTAGAAATTCTTTGTTCCCATTTTAGTGTGTCTTTTTATGTGGGAACCATACACTTGGTTTATGCAAACCAACCTTTTTGTTAACTTATTATGGTTGTTAGTTTAGTATTAAACTATAGGCCTATCTTTTGCTTCTTGGGGTGATTCTATTGCCCTTTGCGTGTTCATACGATAGACTCCAGGTCTCTTTTCCTTTAGAAAAAAATTGACGTATGTTTCTCTGCTGATATTCTATGATTTTGTTGGATGGTAGCAGTCAGTGCATGTAGGTACTGAATTTAAAGTTCAGCAAGATTAAATCCTGGTTTTTTCTTTATATCTGCAGGGTCCAGAAGGATGTGATAGCATCCTTGGGCTTGCAAAACCCTCTAGTTCTTATGTCTTCATTTAATCGTCCGAATATATATTACGAAGGTTTGTCCTGGTGGCTTAACTTTAAGTGTGTGTGTTTTCAATTTTTTCCGTGCAGCATGGGAAAATTGGGATGAACTGATTGATTGCCCCCTGTTCCATATGTTTTTCTGCATGTAGTATGTTTCATGAGTTACATGTAAGTTCATGTTGCCTAGAATTTGTAAATTTACTGCTGCATTTGAACCTAGTTGAAAATTGATTGTGCAGTTCGATATAAAGATCTTTTGGATGATCCACTTGCCGATTTGTCTAAGCAGCTGAAAGCTAGTGGAGATGTCTGTGGAATCATCTATTGCCTAGAACGTGCATTGTGTGACCAATTGTCAGTTTATCTAGGAAAATATGGTATTTCATGCGCTGGTACGTAAATTTTTTATACTCTTTGGAATTGGAATTTTAGCTCTTCGAGTTTTATTTGTTTAGATATATACTTATATTGTGTTGGTCTTGTCGGTTTTCAGCTTATCATGCAGGTTTAAAGAATGAGTTGAGGAAGTCTGTTTTGGAGGATTGGTTAAGCTCTAAGATACAAGTTGTTGTAGCCACAGTAGCTTTTGGGTATAGTTGTCTATAAAACTTTACCTTTCATTTAACCTTGTTAAATTGTAGTGTAGATATAACTTAATTTACCATGACTCATCAACTTACGTTTTCGGGTTTATTTATGATTTAACTTGGTATTGAGGTTTTGATTTCAAACTCTTGTAATGTCATTTCCTTCCCAATTAATATTGATTTTCACTTGTCGGGATTTTTACAAATTTTCAAGCCAAGAGAGATAATGTTTTAGTGTAGATATAATTAAATTTACCATAACCCATAACCCATCAGCTTAAACATTTGGGTTGATGGATGATTTATAAAACCTCAATTTTCCATTCATTCTTGGCATATTTATTTATTTTATAAAAAAAAATTATCATAAATGTTTTGAAATTTTAGTACCTAGCCTTGAAATTGGAAATATAATTTTATATTGCACTTGTTGTGATTAATGGGGCATTTGGGGTGCTGAGTGGAGTTATTAAGTATGAGTTTGTTTAGACCATTAAAAATGTACAAGACATTAGTTCATATACATACATACATACATACATACATACATACACACACATATATATCTGTGAGTTTGTACATATATACATATATATATGGACATACACATATATGTGCGTGTGTGTATATATATAAATTAATTGGATAAGAACATCGAATGTTTAATATAGAAGATTGTTGAGGAAAATCTTTTATTCTAATTTTAACTTCAACACCATTGCATATTATTGCCCATAACATATAGAGATTTAACATTTTATGTTAAACTTAGTATCTATTGTAACTCTAATGGATGGTTTGTTTGTCTATGATTTTGTTGTTTATTCTCATATGAAACTAAATGATATTTTTATATAAGAAAAGCTACGACAAGGACAATCATACTTTACTAGTTTTCCCATAATTTATAAATTATCATTTAGACAAATTTTAACAACTTGATGTGCTGAAATCAACATTTTACACTTTTTAAATATGTTGAAATATTTATTATTAACATGGGAGAGAGGGAGAACGAGAGTGAAAGATAGAGAGAAGGAAAGAGGGGAAGATGGGTTCTACAATAAATGTGCAGATTTCAATAGTAAACATTGTTACAGCCCATCTGTATTGTCAACACTCCTAGTCCCCAAGTTTTATTACTATTAATATCTTTTGGCTACTTGAGAATGTTGATTTTACTTTGCCATTGGAAATGGTACAATGACAGCTTCCTCATTACTATTTGTTGCAAGGAAAGTCCTCTATGTTACTCCCTGTCATGTCCTTCGATTCTTCCTTCTTGTTTTTGTACTTATGATGTACCTAAGGTTGTGATTGTCCTTTCATTGCCCCCTTTTTCCTAGAGCCATTCTGGTGTGTGCACAGTTACTAAATTAGTGGAACTTCTTCAGGATGGTATGTATTTACTTAATTTTAGTTAGTAAAAATTTGGGTGTGTATGTGTTTAGTTTCTGTGCAGGATGAGCATTAAATTTTCTAATTTCATTTTGTTGTCTTACCTAGGGTATAGATAGAAAAGATGTCAGGGTTGTTTGCCACTTCAATATTCCCAAGTCAATGGAAGCTTTTTATCAAGAGTCGGGTAGAGCTGGCCGTGATCAATTACCCTCTAAAAGTCTGTT